GCTGCGGACCTGAGGCGCAGCTCTTGTAGTCGCGGGCCTGCACCGTCTTTCTCGCCAGCCTGAGGAGTGCCCGGTGGCGCTTTTCAGGCGCTCCGACTCCCAAGTCAGATTACCCCGGATAAAACATTATTTTAACTTTAGTTTTTAATGCGGTCTACCGGTGCTTGTACTTGGAAATACGTAACACACACGGCGATAAAAGCCTGTTTTGTGTTAAAGCCAAGGAAAATATCCAGGAGATGAAGAAAGAGCTTGATTCGCTTTTGCAAACAGCTGAGAAGGCGTTTACGGTGGAGCTGCTGAAGATGCCAGTTGCCATCAGGAAAATGAAAAGAAAAGACCTGCTTAGTAAGTGTGCATGGCCCTGTATTTGTGAGGGATGCAGACGTCATTACAGCATGATGTACCCTTGACTATTGTGAGAAAAATCTATAAACTTGGTGACTTTTATGAAAAAGTTTGCTTTGTCTGCTGAATATTTTAAGCTAATCAGCAGTGGTATTGCACTGCAGATGCTCAGTAAGCACTCTTGTTTAAGTAGACTGACCTGTGTAACACCGGGTATAGAATTAGTAGGTAAGCGTATAGAGTCTGGAGCCGCCTTTTTTGTGTGCTCTTAAGTCATCTTACTTAAAGCTTGAAGAGACAAGGAATGATTACAAGTCTAGTATTTTCTGTGCATAAAGACTTAAGCACTTCTTTCCATCTGAATCTGTTCATCCTAGCCACAGAGATTATTTTGTCTTTCTGTTAATTTGAAGTCTTTTTTTACTGAGCCTTTCTCATCTAGTCGTTTACCTGTGATGATGAGTGATCACGTTTGATTTTAACCTCACATTTATGCAGCAGTTTAAGCTGTGGTGTACAGTCAGCATCAGATGTATATTCTGGTGAGAACTGATGTTTTTGGAATCAATACCTTGCAGCTGGAAACTGTAGGGGCTGCACAAAGATCAAACCTAAGACTCTTGAAGAACTTCAGTTTACTGTAAGCCTTTGCGCAGTATGTATTTCGATGTCTTTCTTGAAAACTTCTGCCTAAAAGCATTAGCTTTCAGCAGTGCAACGTATGGGGGTTTTTCTTCTTTGAATTCAGGTTATATACTGTGTGACTATGCTTAGTATCCTTTCAAAGATTAAACATACTGAAATGGCCTAAGATTTTCATTGTTTTGTAGGAGTGACTATCCTACAAGACTTGAATCTTGTTCAAATGCAACATATATGCTAGCTAAGGCTGTTTATGCAACTGTAATCCTGAATTACTTGTTCAGCTTCATAGCCCGTAAGATAAGAACCTGCAGATAATAATTATGCAAGTAATAGTATATAAACAAGTTATACTTTCTTGAGTTACAGATTTGCGAGGAGGGAAGGAAGCAGCTCTTGCTGCCGTAGTGGTAAGTGTGTTTTCAAATTTTATCACAGCTTACAGAATAGAAGTCTTCTCTCCCTGCTGTAAACATTTCAGACAAATGATTTTGTTTGGCTGTCTGTTTAAATAGAAGATGATATGAAAAGACTGGACAGCCAGCCATGGTGCAGTTATAAACATTACCTAAAGCTTCAGGGTCATCTGCAGGCAGAAATCCAGATGTTTCTGAAAAAATAAACTGGTGTTTAGCCAATCCCACTTCTATCACTTTCTTTTATGCCCTTTTAGTTCACTGCCTCTTGTAGGATAATATGCATTTACTGGGCAAAATCAGTTGACTTTCCCTGGTCGGGTAAACTTTTTTTAGACTGAGTGCTGCTCTCTAGAAGACATACCAAATCCAAAACTGGTGAGGACCAACAGCAAAAAAGGCAAGTCAATCCATTAATATATAGCTTGGTCCTTAAATTTTTTTTTTATTGGTTTGAACTGAGCATTTGTAAAGTGAGTGTTAAGCCTGAAGGATACAAGAGGGAAAAGTGTATAACTAGAAGTATAAGATACAGGTCCCCCAGCATTCAGTGTGGAGGATCATGAGCTATGCCACTGTTGAGGTACTTTAAAACATGAGAGAAGAGTTCCTGCCCTTTGGATTAATCACTGAAAATGGTGAGAAGAGACAGATTTAAGTGACGTGTCAGTGCTTTACAGTATAGCAGAAGACCTAGGAAACTCACCCCTATTTTCTCATAGGTTTCCCTTTGATCTCCTGCCCATTGAGGTTTGTAAGGAAAATACCATTTCACTTCATACTCCAAAATATGCAATAAGAAGGACACTACCACTGAAATGTAATCATATTTTGTCTGGGGGTTGAAGGGTTATCTAGTATCTTTTAACTGTCCCGTGTGTCACAGTATCTGTGACGAACACACATAGTTTGCTTTGAACTCTGTCCCAGGAGAATGACCATCGGATCACAGAACTGTTACATAGCTGTCAGTGGATAACTAGGCTTCAAACAAAGGAATTGGGAGTGGCGTTTTGTGCTCTTAGAGTTTATTTTCCTTGTCTTCCTAATATATTTCTAGTTAAGGTAACTACAATTGTTGAATATGAAGATGCCAAGCATATTTCTGCAAAGAAAATACCTAAAAAGGTAAGTTTATTCTGAACAAACAACATAAGGGTTTAATCAGTTCTGACCTGCTATGAACCCTGCTAGATCCATGACCAGGCAGGCCAGTGGCCTGCTGTTTGTTTGAAAAATCAGTTGTTTTAAATTCAACATATTTTAAGTTAAGCAAGGCTAAACTGCATAGTAAATTAATTTCATAATGAAATATGTTATCTGCACTTCTGGTAACTCATTCATACAGACTTGCAAATACTGGCATAGTCATTCTCTCTTGACTTGCCAATAAGTCTTGATGGTTTGAAGAACCATTTTTTATTGAAACTTTTTAAAAAAAAAACCCCAACTTCATGTTTTAATACATGCTTTTCTATATTTGAATCACTTGTGCATTCTTGTTCACCCTGATCTCCAAACCAAATAGCACAGGTGTATTAATTTACCACCTCAGTCCATCTGTGCAATGCAGTGCCTCAGCCAGACGCTGAAGTATGTAGCAAGATGACAACAAAGACAAAAAGATTATATGCAGCGTAACAGGCATTAATTATAAGAGGACTTACAAGTTGGAAGGGTGTATATTAGAAAGGTGGTTGGTTGTACAGAACTTCAGTATGAACAAATACGTTTTGGCATTATGAAACTCGTTTCAGAATGCATATTTGCCATTTTATATATATGTAGAACTATATAAAAGGCAGCACTATGGGGCTTAACTGTTCTTTTTCAACAGGGAATTCTTACAGTATTGTTCCCTGGAAATATCCATCATTTTGCCTTAAAATGCCACTTCTTTTAACTGTAGTCTTAAATATACGTTTTCAGGTTTCCAAAACAAAGTCGTTGGTTTCATTGGCTTCTGGTTTAAATAGCAAACTGAACCCTCTTTCTAGGTAAGACTGACCTTTGATAGCTTATTTAACTCACCTGAACTTGTGAATGCTGAATAAAACACTTTTCAGATAAAGTAGCTCCGATTTGAGACCACTAGGAATACATCTGATAAAAGGTGTCTTCCATAACCTGAATCGGATGCATTGTAGTGATGTGAACCCTGAACAAAAAAGCACCTCTAGCCAATGAAGGGATGTAGTTGTATCTCTCACTCACTGAATGGTGCACAGTTCTGAATCTATGTAATCAGTATAGATTTCCAAACAATACTTAAAGAGAGCGTGTAAGGGAAACATCTTTGTTGCTCTGTTAGGACTAATGAATTGTTCTGTAATAATTTTGCCCTCATACATAGCTGAAAGGGAGGAGTCATTAGCAGGAAAATACACACTTGCAAAAACACCTTAGAGCTACTTAGAGTCATGATGGACAAAATTCAAGTCTCACTATAAGATCTAATGAATTAAAAAATTGGTGGATATCTGAATGAAATTTTTTGAGAAGCTCCCACTACACCTATGGCTCCAGTGTGCATACTTGTACTCACTAGCACTTATTTTGATACATTAAAATTGTCTTCAGAGAAATGCAATTTAAATAATGTGTTGGTGTTTAATGTGCCTAAAAGAAATTTAAAAAATCTTAGGTTTAATTACTTTCTTGAATTGGGATTATAGAATTTTTGGCTCAAGAAAATCAAACTAGAGAAGGCTGCTTTGCCTGGGGAAGTCTAACGTTTCAGTCTTTGGAGGTTGCTTTTTTTCAAGTACACTAACACTGTGCCAAAAACACATGCTCCTACAATATCTCAAAAATGTGTGTGGGAAAGGGAGATGAGGAAAAAGTGAAAACTTTTGTCATTGAGATTTCTGTGAACTGAGTTAAAATCCAAAACTGGAAAAAAATTGTTCTCTGGATTCAGGTTAACCACACAGGATAAATATCCTGAGAA